TGGTGGGGCTCGGGCGCAGGCGCATGAGGGGCGCCGGCAGCGACACGCGCCGATGGTGGGGCTCGGCCGCTCGAGCAGCGAGACGTGGCCGCCGGTGGAGCGTGGGCCGTGAGACGAGGCCGCTGGTGGGCGCAGGTGACGGGACATGGCCGCCGATGTCAGAGCGGGCGACAAGATGCGCCACCGGTGGGGCGTAGATGGCGGGACGTGGCCTTCGAGGCTTGCCAGCGCTAGAGGGCTTGGGCACAGTCGGGAAGAAGACGAGCGGCCATGGGAAGGAAACGAGGAAAAAATATAAGAGGCACTACCGGAAACGCGTGCTTTGCCGAGGGCCAGCCATAGGAGCCCTCGGCAAAGAACGGCCCTCGGCAAAGAGGCCTTTGCCGAGGGTCTGGCCCTCGGCAAAAACAGACCCATGGCAAATCAAATCTTTGACGAGGGGGCCCTCGGCAAATTAGGCTCGTTGGGTCACGGCGGCCATTCCCGTCAAGCTTTGCCGAGGGCCACCCGTTAGGCCCTCGGCAAAGGTTTTTTTTCCTGTGAAACCAGTTTTTTGGTAAATTTTTTTTTAAAGTCTTTGCCGAGGGTCCTAGACCAGGCCCTCGGCAAAGATTTTTTTTTAACCAGTTTTTCGGCCAAATTGTTTTTTATAAATCGTCTTTGCCGAGGGCCCGAGGCGAGGCCCTCGGCAAAGATTTTTTTTTTGTTTTTTTAGCCCAGTTTTTTGTGGTGCTACAATACATTGTTTTGAACTCAATTTTAAAATTAGGCCAATTTTGACTTTTTTTTATATTTCCTTAATTTATTTCGATTCTTTGATTTTTTTCGAATATGTCAAATTTGAAGTGCAGGTGCATGGAATATTGCAATGTAGTGTTTCGAAAAATATTATTCATGTTAATTGGTGCATGTTGAGTCCCTATCCACGAACTCGCATCAAATTTCGCGCATCTTCTTTGCGTAACATGACGACCGACTTGCTGGAAAAGTGTTTTAAAATCATATAAAATCCATACGAAGTCCAAAAATCACGAAACTTGGCGAGATGTCATGTTATCGCATGTGTAGGCTGTGGTAAAAAATTGAGAATATTTTAAGCAAGTTGTGACGTCGGATGCCTAATACCCAGACATCTCCACATGTGATCGCATGTAATCACATGTGGAGATGTCTGGGTATTGGGCATCCGACGTCACAACTTGCTCGAAACCTTCTAAATTTTTTACCACAGCCTACACATGTGATAACATGACACCTCAACAAGTTTCGTGATTTTCGAACTTCGTATGGATTTTATATAATTTAAAAACACTTTTCTGACAAGTTCCTCGTCATGTTACGTGAAGAAGATGCCTGAAATTTGATGCGAGTTCGTGGATAGGGAATCAACATACACCAAATACCATGAATAATATTTTTTGAATCACTAAATTGCATTATTCCATCCACCTGCAGTTCAAATTTGAAATATTCGAAAAAAATCAACGAAAAGAAATAAATTAGGAAAATATATAAAAAAATCAAAATTAGCCCAAATTTTAAAATTAGGTTTTAAATAATGTATTATAGCACCACAAAAAAACTAGGTTCAAAAAACAAAAAAAATTGCTAAGGACCTAGCCTAGTCCTCGATAAAGGGGATCTTTACCGATGGCTTGGCCAATAGCCCTCGACAAAGAAAATTTTAAAAAAAAATCTTTGCCGAGGGACTAGATCTGGGCCCTCGGCAAAGGGCCCAACCCTAAATCGGCCGGCGGGCCAAAATCGCCGCCCACAGAACACCATTACGCCGCTGCTGCTTGCCGCCGCCGCCCCGCGCCTGGCCGCTTCAACCGCCTCTCCTGGTCGCGCCCGGGCGCCGTCGAGGGCGACTCCTTCGCACTCGGACTCCTCGCCGGTGGCCTCAGCGATGGCTCCGTCGCCGTGTGGAACCCGCTGAGCATGATCAGGTCCGGATCCGCCTCCCTCGCCCCGCTTCGCACTTGAGATCTGCTCCCGTTCTGACTGAATTGCATCGCTGTTTCAGCTCCGAGGGGAAAGCGGAGGACGCCATGGTCGCGTGTCTGGAGAAGCACACCGGGCCTGTGAGTCGCGTAGGGCTGGCTAGTTAGTTTTACGCGCCTGGCGTTCTGACGGGGTTGGCGTCGTGTGCTGATTGCGTTTGTGTTCGGTCTGCCAGGTTTGTGGACTGGAGTTCAGTGAGCTCACGCCGAATAGGCTCGCTTCTGGGGCTGAGCACGGGGAGCTTTGCATCTGGGATCTCAAGAACCCTGTTGAGCCAATTGTGTACCCACCACTCAAGGTACTTGCAGTTTTGTACAGAGCTTATTGTCATACAAGAGGATTAAGGATTTGCCCGATTGGTTAATGGTTATTCATGAGATGCATGGTTTCTGCTACTCACGGCTTGTAATGATTCAGTGGTGCTTTTTATTCCATGGTAAACATGATGCCATCTTGCGTGCTTACGGTGACCCTAGCATGATTTTTGTCATTCCAGACGGAGATGTTTTGAGTTATATGTAGTAGCATTCTCATTTTTAATTTTCATTCAGTATGAGCAGAACTGGCTACACTATTTGATGCAGGGATAAAACTGAGGGACTTTAGACTGATTGTGCAAGATTATAGTCGTCCTTTATGATCTGGATGTTTGCGCCTGTGCTACACTAGTCCGTTGAATGCAAACAAAGTTTTTACCCTGTAGAGTCCTTTATGTTATCTTACCGCGTTTCCATGCTTGTTCTTTCATATGATCGATGTGGGTTGCTGTTAATGAAAAAATAAAGTTGAGGTTTAGGGCATGTGACATAGTTGTAAAGCAGGATGTGTTTGGATATTTCAGTTATGTCACTATGGTCTGGCTACATTCTTCTGTTCAACCTTTTATAGCATGTAATCATTTTTTTAAAGTATAATAATTTTAACAGAGTGTTGGGTCCCATGCGCAAGCTGAAATCTCTTGTTTATCCTGGAATCCCAAGTTCCAACATATAGTTGCCTCAACTTCGAGTAATGGGATGACAGGTAAATTAAATTTTGGTTGATTCTGCAAAAGTTTAGCTATCAGTTACCATCACTTGGACTTCTGATCATTCTGTCTGACTAATTTTGTTTCCCTGCAGTTGTTTGCGATTTAAGGAATCAGAAACCACTGATTTGCTAATCCCAGGGCACAACCTAGAGGATCTCCTTTTTAAGAATTTCTTTGGCCGGAGGTTTCCCACCTGGCTAGGTACTGCTACCCATTTTCCTTCACTGACATATTTGAACCTCATAGATTGCAAATCATGTATGCATCTTCCACCAATCGGTCAGCTCCCCAACTTGAAATATCTGAGAATCCAGGAAGCCACTGCAGTCACCAAGATTGGACCCGAATTTGTTGGCTCTGTGGTGGGTAATCTCAGATCTCCAGAGGCAGTAGCTTTCCCCAAACTTGAAACATTGGTCATCTGGGATATGCCCAACTGGGAGGAGTGGTCCTTTGTTGCTGAAGAAGAACAAGAAGAAACAACAGCAGGTACGGAAGGGGGAGAGGATGAGGCTGCTGCAAATCAAAAGGAGGAAGCGCCGCCTCCAAGGATGCAGCTGCTGCCACGACTGAAGGAGTTGGAGCTTGACCGCTGCCCCAAGCTGAGAGCTCTCCCACAGCAGCTTGGACAGCAGGCCACCAGCTTGAAGGAGCTCCGATTAAGCGATGTGAACAGCCTTAATGTGGTGGAGAACCTCGGTTTCCTCTCAGAGGTCCTTGTAATCGTAGATTGTGAAGGCCTAGAGAGGGTCTCAAATATTCCCCAGGTGAGACAGCTGCGTGTACAGCTGTGTCCCAACTTGTGGTGTGTTGAGTACCAGGTGACTAATATATTGTGATTTATGGTTCATAATTATGGTTGTGATATATTGTGAGAAAATGTGTTTTGTGTGATATATATATATATATATATATATATATATATATATGAAACGCTTGTGTCGATGGAATGCAAAAAACAAAAAAAAAATTCTGCCTCTTTGCCGAGGGCAATGACCAAGGCCCTCGGCAAAGAAGGGTCCTTTGCCGAGGGCCGTCCCATTGCCCTCAGCAAAGATTCGTTGGAAAAGAAAAATTCTGGAACATTTCTTTGCCGAGGGCCATAGTCGGAGGCCCTCGGCAAAGACTTTTTTAAAAAAAATTAAAATTTCTTTGCTGAGGGCCTGCGGGGAAGCCCTCGGCAAAGATTTTTCAAAAAAAAAGAATAATCCTTTGCCGAGGGCCGTCCCATTGCCCTCGGCAAAGAATTTTTGGAAAAATTTTGCAACATTTCTTTGCCGAGGGTCATAGTTGGAGGCCCTCGGCAAAGATTTTTTTTTTAAAAAGAATAATTCTTTACCGAGGGCCCCCGGAGACGGCCCTCGGCAAAGACTCCGTCCCAGGCGCCGGCGCCGTGACGGCTGCTTTTCTTTGCCGAGTGCCGGTCCAGCCCTCGGCAAAGGCTTTGCCGAGTGCCCGATAAAGGGCCCTCGGCAAAGACCCTTTTCGCCGACTCAAAATTCCCCGAGAGCTCTTTGCCGAGGGTTAATGGGCCTTTGCCGAGGGCCGTCTCCAGTAGTGAGGAAAAGAAAAGGAGAGGGTAGTATAGTCATTTTTATTCGTCTGGTGCACAAGTGAAGATGTTTTGCTAAATGGGGTTATGAAAACAGCTTAGCTTTATTGAAAAAGCTACTCATGAAGCTAAAACACAAAAAAATAGCTTTATTGGTGAAGCTGAGCCGTGGCAATCGAGGTCTAATAAGCAATTGTTCCTCAATACGAAAATCTAAAATATATTTAAAATTAAACATGACTAATAGTTAGGAGTACAACGTGGCGCTCAACAAATATAACGGCAGCTCGCTCACTTGATTATTTATTGCAAGCAGTGATAATGATAATGATAATGATAATGATAATATGGCAACGCCGGATGAGGAAGCCGGCCGGAGAAGCGATAGCATAGCATGCCATGCATGCAAGCTATCTATCCCTCGATGGCAACGCCAGGCAGCGCCGCCGCTGCTGCCACTCTGATGGTCCTCGGCTTCTTGCTGCCTCCTGCTGCGATGGTGTCAGGGACATGCTTCGGATCTTGTTCGTGTTCGTGTTCGTAGGCGGCGAGATGAACGCCCAGCGCCGCCCTCCCCGAGGGGTCCAGGTTTGCCGACCACTGCGCGTCCCACTCGATGGCCTTGGCCGTGCTGCACGCCACGCTTGGCCCGCCCGGCACCGTCAGGATAGCAGACTTCTGCTTGCAGAGATCATCATGCATGGAACAAATCAATTAGTTATATGTCTGTGTGTTCTATTCCATGCATTAGCAGAAGTACATGCATGTTGATGGTGTGTGACTGAAGAATGTTGATTAGCTCACCTGTGGGAAGAACCTCTCGAAGATCATCCTGTAATAGTAGGCCTCTTTTGTGGTTGGAGTGTTGTGCGGGAAGATGAACTTTGCATTTGACAGCATCTTGTCAGTCACCTGCATGCATATATGTATGGGGGATCATGAAATAGAATTATCCTTGTATATATATTTGGAAATCGAAATTGACATGTCGATATTTACATTTGATGATGCATGAGCCTTGAGGCCATCGATCCAGCTGTACCCAACACCGTCACTGAACTGCTCCTTCTGTCTGTACAGGATATGCTGCAAGGCAAGTGCGTGCATGACACACACGAAATTCAGATGTCTGAATGTCAAAATATTTACTACGGGAAATTCAGTAGAAGCAGCTGAACGCTGGTTAACTACCACCTTGGGCAGGGATGGCTGCTCCTCATCGTCAAATGCCTTCCTGAGCACCCACTTCTCAATTCTTCCAAGATCAGGCCGGATCTGCAACCCTCCTCAGAAATTAGTATTTTAGTAACGGTCATGTATATTGCATGCTTTGTTTGAAAGTAATGAACTCAGTTTCAGTCAGTACCATCTTCCACTCAGGATCGATGCTCATAGCCTCATTGATGAACTCCTTGTCCAAGAAAGGGACGCGAGCCTCGAGGCCCCAGGCAGACGTCGCCTTGTTGGCTCTCAGACAGTCATACTGATGCAGAGCCTTAATCTGCATACAGAGCAAGATCAATTCATCATGTCAGGCAGTCAGGTTGCTCTCATGTTTTTGTTTCCCATTCCACAAAAGTCGAGTTCCTGATCGAAGAATTGCAGACCTTCCTGCAGGTCTCGCGATGGAATTCCTCCTTGTCGGGTGCCTTGTGGAAGTAGAGGTAGCCTCCGAAGAGCTCGTCGGAGCCCTCGCCGGAGATGACCATCTTCACCCCGAGCGACTTGATCTTGCGCGACATGAGGAACATGGGCGTGCTCGCCCTAATCGTCGTCACGTCGTACGTCTCGGTGTGGTAGATTACATCTTCAATTGCATCGATGCCGTCCTGATGCAGCAATTACCATTTTATTCAGTCAGCATTTTTTTAGAAAGGAAAAAGAGAAGCTTTGCCGGATTTTCATTCAGTAAGCATTAGCTGTTGTGATGTTTATCAAGATGCATGAAGATGAACAGAGATCTCCAAGGTAGCCCTGTAGGTTGGTACCTGAACAGTGAAGTGGAACTCGTGGTGCAGGGTGCCCAGGTAGTCTGCCACCTCCCTGGCCGCCTTCAGGTCAGGGGATCCCTCCAGGCCCACGCAGAAGGAGCGGAGCTTGGTGCCCCAGCGCTTGGCGGCCTCTGTCCCGGCCAGGTGGCGCACGGCGACGGCCGCCACGAGCGACGAGTCCAGCCCGCCGGAGAGCAGGACGCCGAAGGGGACGTCTGTCATCAGCCGCTTTACCACAGCCTGAACCAACAGTTAGTTTGGTTACTTTCATTTGTCCGTACTGTGTTCATCTCAGGTAACCTACCGGACAGAGTTGTTTAATTTGTCATCGTTTAGTTATGATTCTATGTCTTGCCTCTTTTTTTATGCCGTCTGAAGTGGCAAACAGTAGTACGTATGTAACATAACATTCTCAGTTTAGTTCAGTTTGTTGGTCCAAGCACACACTGAAAATCCTTTGATTTGTTCACCTTTTCAAACGCCTTCCGCAGCGCCAGCGGGTTGTATGGAACACAGGGGATGATGGCCTCGTCGTACCATGGTGGGCTGTACCACCTGCTGAATCCTCCAGTCTTGCTGGAGTAGAGATGCCCCGGAGGGAAAATCTCAAAGTGCTCGCACTCGTCGTTCAGGGCCTTCATCTCTGACGATATCCACACCGATCCTGCCAGATTATGTACAGTTCAGTTTCAGTTATACATTGGTAGCTGCACTCTCTGAGGCAGAGGTGGATAGTTTGTTAAGAGACAGAGGCAGTACCATCGATTCCCCATCCGATGTAGAGGGGCGTGACACCGATCGCGTCACGGGCAACCATGAAGCTGCTGCTTCCGCTGCCATGGCGGGTGTCCAGCAGCACGAAGGAGAAGACGCCGTCCAGCATGTCCACGAACTCTTCTCCATGCTCCTCGTACTACACAAACACACATGCATCGCAATCGCAGACAATTCGATCGCACCCGTGAAAAAGTTCATGACCATCATCAGGAATGAATCGAAACACTGAACACTGCTGGTGACTGACAGACTGAACCAAAGAGACATACCAGGTGCGCGATGACCTCGCAGTCGCTGCCGGTCCTGAAGCTGTGCCCGGCGCCGGCGAGGCGGGTCCTAAGGTGCTGGTGGTTGTAGATCTCGCCGTTGACGGCGACGACCACCGACTGGTCCTCGTTGTAGAGGGGCTGGTCGCCGGAAGCCGGGTCGATGATGGCGAGGCGCTGGTGGGAGAGGTAGCAGTCGCCCACCTGCCGGAGGCCGCTCCAGTCGGGGCCCCGGTGCTTGAGCCGCCGCGACAGCTCCAGCACCCTGGCTCTCTTGCCATGAGACGCCTCGTCGGCGCACCCAAGCACAGCAAGTATGCCGCACATCCTCACTGGACGATCAGCTAGAGCTTGTGCTTGAGCTGGGTGAGGTTTACTGGTGGTGGCTGCCCTGCTCCTGCTCTGCTCTGCGGCCTCCATTTTATAGAGCGACAGCCGACACACGGACGACGATGCTCCTTGTCTCCTAGCTAAATCATTCAGTACTTACCACTGCTACTGGAATACTACATCTGTACATGACTACATGTACAGTACCTTCTTGATACATATCACTCTGTTCGCTTGATCGTTTCTGTGGCTTATAAGCCGGTTGATGCTGTTTTATTATGAGAGAAAAATACTCTATCATAACTGATAAGCATGGCTGATAAGCGAACATGGTGTTTATGCATGTTCCCGGCCACATCCACGCACTCTCTCTTCACGGTTATTAACATAACATGCAACATCATCCAGTACCTTACCTAACCTTTTATCACTCTACAATACTCTTTCCATTTCAATTATATATAAAAATGCATAATAAAATCTAGATCTCTGGAAAAAGAAAATCAAAACGTCATATTTTTTTTAAAAAAAATACACTACTTTCTGAACAGACCTCTTTATGCGTGTCCCAGCCGCATGCAAGCACTCTCTCTTTAACGGTTCTTTGACATGTACTCCCTCTGTCTCAAGATGACTATCCATTTTATTTTTTTTATAAGTTAACTTCTTTAGTTTGACAAAATAAATACTACAAAAACATAGTAATATTTATGATACTCTATTGGTTCTAAATTGTGATATTTTATCTTCTCTATACTATATACGTGTATCTAGACATAATGGATATCCAGATGCATAGTAAAAGCTATGTATCTAGAAAAAAACAAAAAATCTTATAATTTAGAATAGTGGGATCAGTACATAATAAGAATCATTAGATCATTAGTGAAATATATTTTATCATAAACATATTTAGAAGATATAAATGCTGATATTTTTTATAAATCTAATCGAATTTAAAAACAACTCTTCAAGAAGTGAGATGCACAATTGCTTTGGGCTGAACGTAGATGATGCGCTCAAGATTAAAGCTGACCGAAAAGATAGACAATTTATTTATGCATTCATCAGCATAACTCGTAATATGATTGGCGTGACACTCATTAATCAACTAGAGAGATGAAAGGATATATATGGGGGAAAAAGAAGATAATCAATAGAACTACATATGAGGGAAAAGTGAGAGAAACCCAGTGATGACATAATTGGTGTTCCTCTTTCAATTGGACCCAGAAGATCAAGTCGAAATTGAACCAAGCCAGACTAATAATAGGAAAAACATTCAAATCAAAAGTGAAAAATCATTTAACCCGTGCTCATGGTGATTAGTGAACCAAGAATATAGACACAATTTGTCATGGCTTACGAAGGTGCATGCTCGTCTCCTCATCTTGTGTCGTCCTCTTCAATGCAAACAAAACTAGGTAACCTGTCGGAATGCTATAATTTCGTAGCCCATCACACTTTATTATGTACTACCCACTTAATCGTGCTTTTGAAACATGGGCATTCCATATGCATGCATACACGAAACTTAGTTTCAAAACACAAAGATATATAGGCAATGTTTTTGAAATTAAAAACTAGTTAGCACATCCATCAAGGAGTCAAATAATTTTAAATTTGATTAAATCTACATAAAATAAAAGTACCAACATTAATGTATGATATGGAATAAGTGTCCTTAAATTAATTATAAAAATATTTTTGTGCCAAACCAATTTAAAGGATATATAAATATTAATACTACTTTCTATAAAATTAGTTAAAATTAATAAAATTTAGCTTGGTTTAAATATAGAATTGTACTTCTTTTTCAGGCGCAGAGAGTAGTACCATGTTACCATGGCTACCGGAGTACAGTCTACCTCTTAAGTATTTCATTCGTTCTAAATTATAAATATTATAGTTCTTTTAAATATAATAATGTTTTTATTGTATATCTAGATATATTGTACATTACAGTGTACCTCTTTATACACAATCTATTTTCTTTCTTTTTTTAATTTTTGGAGCAGTATATAGCATTAGCGTGCATTATCCTCGTTCACTTGGAGTACAGATGTGACCATCCTTGTCTACTGCTTTACTAGTATGTATATTTTAGTATATCTTTTGGATTTAATTTACGGCTCACACGACGAACTTATCAGCTGTAGTATCGTTTCAGTAAAATAATAATATTTTTTTCTCACAACAAATCAGCATCAGTTATTTTTTTTTTAGCCAGCCTTGATACCGAAGGAGGGCATAGGCAGGCAGGCATGTACACATGCAGAAAAACAGGGCAAGTTCATCCAGCATCTGACACGGATCACATCATTTTGTTTTCTTCGCGCCACATGTTTGCACCCCATTTGATCGTAGGTACGGGTCCGATCCGACCGACCGACCGACTCGTTTTTGGCTGGTTTATACGATGATTCCATCGGATATATATGCTGATGCTACTAATAAACAAAGCTGCCTCATCAACCCATGCTCGATCTCTATTGAAAAAAAAAGGTTGGGCCTAACCTTGCTGCACTTACCACGGCATGACGTGGTGTCCCGCGCCTCGCTGCGTAATCTCTAGGACATTATTTAAGAAATGCAAATTATAATTTGCTCAAGTCATATATCTGTCGTAGTTCTGCAACTGGTTGAAATAAATTGCATTGCTATACCAAATCCGCTCATACAATACATTCTACAAAATGTGAGAGGTTAAAATATTAGAACAAATGAAGACTAGCATAGGAAACTAATAGGGGTAATAACCTATAAAATTATAACACCGCTCTAAACTTGGAACATGTGTTTAGATTCACACATGCAACAGACACCGCTTCTTTGTTGGCTTTCATCTAAACTTGACGTAAATTGGTGGAGAAATGATGCCATTAATATGGGCTCTTTGCTGAGTGGAAGAAGAATTGGAAAAGAATGAGACGCTTACTCGCTTAGTGAATCATTAATTAAGTATTGAAAGAGGAGGAGCACACGACGATGATGTTAATGATGTGCATGACACAGATGGACACATGGATGGGCAGATTCGACTGAAACCTAGCTATCTAACGGTTGATTTATTTTTGATGACGTGGCTCATTGTGAAAATGAATTGCCGTGTCACTATGTAGTCATATCGTCCTAAAATATATATGGTATCAAATATTTAAATTTTGTCTTTAATTTCAAAAGGATTCTAAGTGAGTTAATTGCCGGAGACCCCAACCCATGCACGCACTCCATTTGTCCCAAAATAAGTTGGCATTCTAGGATCTGACATGGAAACCAAGAAGACAGGTAAAAATGACAAAATTATCCCTACAAAATGTTCATATGAAACACTCGCACAGGTGCTGTGAATGGGGAAGGGAGGAGAAAAAGCGCTGGCGCAGTTCTGAAAGCCTGAATGGGTGGTACGTAGGGATGAAAACGGATCGGATACGGACGGATATGTCTGATATTACATTTGTTTTTATATTTCTGGTCGGATTCGGATTCGAATACGGATAGTGTCAACCATGCCGGATAGGATATGATTGGATGTCGACATCGTAAATATGCGATTTAAGTATTCGAATATGGATACGGTATCGGATGTTGAATATTCGGACTCAGATACGGACAGATATGAATCTCTCTAAACAGATTCGGTCTCGAATACGGTCAGAAGATATCCGTACCGTTTTCATCCATAGTGGTATGCAGGGATAAGCTCTTGTCACTTTTTTCATCTTTTTTTTATTTCGTTGATGATTCCAAGGTGGTTCCAACAACCATAGGGTTGCAGCTGCCAGCTACTAGACAGATCCTATTTTATATATTTTAACAACGATTTTGGAACAAATTTTAAACTGTAAACGTGCATGTATTCTGGGACGGAGGGTGTAGTTGCTAATAATGCCTATTGTTATTATAATCATCATATTTAATATGGTGTGGTTGCGTCCAGGTTACGGTGCGCCGGTCTATGATTGATCTGCTGGCACTCAGTTCGGCCCTCGGGCATGAGCCAGGGTTCAGGGGGTTTTATGGGCCGGGGTAATTGATTCCTCTTTCTACTTGAAAGCCGTGGAGGCGGTTCTTCCCCCACCGGTCCAGTTTTTTTATATATTCTCTGTTTATCTTAATGTGCTAGCTCTTAAGATAGATAGACGGAGAATACATACATACATACATACATATATACATAAGAGAAACAAAAGGAAATAAAACCAAGATGGTTAGATGTCACTGTAACAAGCTGACTCGATGTCTATCTGTACATAGTGTGGGGGTGCTAATCTCTAGTGTGCTTATCTTCGACCTTTCACTTTCAGTGACCACTAGTTATGCTTATGTATTCTATCTCCATCACTCATCTTCACGCGCGCGTCGCCGATTCCCCGCATCTCGCCATATATACGTGTCCAAGGCTCCAAGCTATTCGTACCTGCCCGTGCCCACGTCACCACATGGACGGCCGGCCCGAAAGCAGACATGGCCAACCATGCAAGTGTGTCGTCACCGATCGAGATTTAGATAAGTGGTCATATATGTGCATGCATGTGTACATCCTACATATATATATATATATCTTCCTCCATTATGCACGTCGTCAATAATGCTCTAGCTCGTGCGGGTCTCTTCTTATCTTATCCCATGCACAAGCATGAATTTTGTTTGTTTTTCTCCTTTTCCCTTGTTGAGGGTATATATATCCCTATTTCCATTTCCATTATTTTCACGAGGTACGTAGAGGAAGTCTTGCGTCATATTCAGTGCTAGAGTAGTAAGTAGAATGACAAATTAACTGCAACCAAAGAATGCTTGTAATAAGGTCAATCTCAGTGGAGATTTTATCTGAGTTTTATTTGCATTTAATATTATAACACATCAACAGATTTGATGAATTAGCAGGTTAATTATGAAGAGAGAAATAGAGAGTTTCATAGAGTTTCATCCGGATGAAACCCTTGTCATATTTACCAATAGAAAAACTGACATGACAGTCTTGATAATTGTATCACGAAACTCACGACTGAGACCGGCCTAAATACTATTCTAGAGGTCATTCCGGCGTTGTACACTATATGTTGTTCCAGACTTTAATAAAATAGAGA